CTATCTCTTGGTCAAACTATTGCTGACCACTTGAAACAGAATTTGCATGCTTATTTCTCAAGGCAAGAGGACAACTGAAATTCAGAATTTCAAGTCAAATTCCCCTTCCACTACTAAAAATACTGCAATCAGTATTTTTCTATCACACTGTGTGGGATTTTAAATGTGGATGTTGCAAAAGGCAGATATACAACACCTAGACAAGGCAAGAACGCTTAGGAGACCTAGAACCTTGCCTAACAGCAGCTCTCAAAAGAAAGGGTTTAAGCCCAGAACCTGTCAAAAAGTAGGGCTGATTTCATCAGAACAGGAAGTAATATTGATAAATTGAATTTCCAGCTCAAGTGAAAGCTCCTTCCAGCAGATCTCAGACTCTCAGACTGCCTCTAAACATTAGAATGGCCTTTCTTGCTCAGACAAGTTCCTTTGAGACAAGTGTCCCCATTCTGGCAGAGGCCAGTAGCAGGTATTGGAAGAATGTAACAACAGGTTTCGTGTCCTGGATGATATTTCTCCAGGCTGCCTTCCCAACTTCCAGCACATTGTGGCTTATGGACTCTCTGAAGCAGACATTGCATCTGCACTGTTGTGTTTAATAGCTCTTTCTTTCAGGAACTTGTGCTGCTGTTTTCCGAGCTGAGTTTTATGTATGATCTCCACAGCATCCCATGGCAATGAGCTCCATCATTAGTGTTTTGTATGAAAAGGACTTGCTTTAGTTTGGGATAAAACTTCTCACTCACACTTTCTTTTGATATCCTTAGTTCTTGTGTTGTCAAAAATAATGTATAATCACTTTCTATCCACCTTCTCTGTATCAGTCCTTATTTTATTCATCTTTGCTCTTCCCCCTGTTGGTCAGTTGGGGGCCCACCTGAGAAGCTCTGGTCTGCATAGCTGTTTTGGCAGTTTTGGTCTTCAGTTTCCAACTCTTGCTACTGAATGCTCTTCAGGAGGGAGGCAGGATTTCAAACATGTTGTTCAGTGTTCGAAAAGTCCTATTTTTCTCACATTTTCTAAGCACTTGGACCAAAGCCAACTCAGTTGCCATCTTTTGAAGAAAATAGAGAGGGCGGCGGCAACAGCAGTTTAAACAAATCTAAGACTGAAAAATTACCTGTGCTCACCTGTGCTGGTCTTCTGCTTTCCTTATATTGGCACTAGAGCTCATGGGGCCATGCCAGCTGATGCAGTAAAATTCAAATCACTGAAATTTTATTAGGTTCAGGTTTTACTTTCCATCCATACAGTTACATGGTGGCTAGTGCTGGACCTGGAGGAGTGACAGGTTGTTTTGGTTGGTGGGTGGAGGAAAGCAGGACTATGACCAAGAGGCCATAGTCAGAGCAGCAGACGCTTGTTGTGCACCTGCATGCCAAGTTCTCAATGTGAGCACAGAAATGTTCTGAGTTCCACTGTCCAGCTCAGTCTGGCTCCCTACATCTTTGGAAATGAGAGAGGCTGATTTCCTGCCTCTGCAAAGGAAAACTGACAGAGCAATAGGAATTTTCAAATGCCCAAGTCTTTGGCTCTCTCTGAGGGTAAAACAACACTGTCTCTTTATATTCTTTTAATTCTCTGGAAATGATACATTGAAATCAAGCACATGATGAACCCTCACACTTTTAAATTAATCAGTAGATTGTCAGCTGTCCTCTTTAGGAGCTTAAATCAGAATTTAAAATAAGCTTGGTGTTGTTTTTGTGTAGAGGCTTTAATGATAGACATAAATATTATGTGTATGGCAGGGAAGGCTGGGAGCTCCTGAACCCTACTAGAATTCATGCCAGTGAGCCTTGATTGTCTGTCACTTGATTTACTTTCCTTTCCTTGCTTTTTCCCTACTCATGAATAATATCTGTAAAGGGATGATAAATAATCTGATGAGTAATAGCTATAGCAATGTATGTTGCCTGTTGTGCCCCTTCTCTTCCTGTTGCACTAACCAGTGATTGTTTTCTTGGCTCACATGCTCTCAAAGCAAACAGAAATTCTGCACAGCAGAGCACAATTCCTCCTTTATGTACTTCTTACCTAGCTCTTCCTCTGCTGAGGGAAAATAAATCAGCAGTCCTGTCCTGGATCCACATTCTGGAGCTTGCAGTGAGATTGCAACCTAATTGTACGTGCTGCTGGGCCAGTGTTGAGGCTTCTGCTTTCCTCCCATAGCAGCCATCATTAATGGCAATTGCTGTGTACCCTCTCCCTGTTGCAAGGCGATATGTGCCTTAAAAAACATTTCATATTGCTGCTCAGGGATTCCCACAAATCTTGTTTGCTGTCCATTCACATGATGTACAGTGAGGTGTGCAGGATGAGGACACAGCTCAAAGTGCATAGAAGTTCCTTCTGCTATTCCTTTGACCATAAATCACTAAAATATCCCACAGTTTTCCTGATTACAGAAAGAATAACATCCTGTTCTGGTAGTGGGCAATAGTAAAACTTTCACTGCATAGGCCAAAGCCTGGACTCTTCCTCAGGTAGAAAATTTGCTGGCCAGAATCCTTCAGCATGTACTTGACCTGCTGTCATTCCCAAGCGTCACACTGCAAAGAGTGAAAGGATCCTGTGTTTCTCATGGTAAAGTCATTCTTGGTCTGTCTGCCACTTTCAGGCTCTGGTGGTGTTCACATGGCCTAATTTTCCCACTTTGACAAATAAGTTTCTATGAATGCAAAGATAGTGCCATGTCGGGGCAAAACTGGTGTATTACTAGCACATTTTAGGTACCAGCACAGAGACTCAAAGAGAAGCCCAGAGATCGATTTAGGGCTTTTACTTTTAAAAGGTACAGGCTCTTGAAAAACTTAATTTGTTTAGGATCTGCCTATCTCTTTGACATTTTAAGTCTGAGTGAATAGAGAGACTCAATATTTTCCAGGTGGTAGAGTCACACTACTCTGCATAGAGTTAGATTCACCAGTCACAAGTTGAATAGTGCTGTTTCTGGTACCCTCATTAATTCTGTAGAGGAGCAGAGGAATGGCAATTAATGGCAATGCAGGCTCTGTCACACCTATGATTTTATCTGTTAAAGGACTGATTTGATTGTGGATTTCTTCAGGTTCCTCTAAGGATACACGGCGCATTAAGAATATCTGGATATTGGTTATCCAGCATTAAAGACAAAGACAGGAAAGCTAATAAATTAAACACTTAGAAGCCCAGATCCTAAGGAACAGGAGAGTACATAACAAAGACAAAGTGCAGAACTCCTAAACCGGTGATTGATGGGCCAGTGAAAGCCTAGAGGAGGATCAGCCAGAACATTGATGATCATGACTCTCGTGAGAAAGAGAAAACTTACGGGATATTTGATGAAGCCTGCGGGACTCTGTAAACTTACTATTGGATGTTTTAAGGGATTTGGGGAAAGTGCTAAGCTTATTTTGGGATGTTTAGAGGAGGAGCCAAAGTCAGTCAAAGGGACGGAGCAAGGTGCACGTGGGAGGAATAAGCGTGGAAAAAAGGAGAGGGATAAAAGGGCTGAACTGCATGCAGACAAGCAGCCGTCAGTGTGTCTATCTGGCCATGCCTGTGCCTGATCACCACAGCCTGTCCTGTCTTCATACTAGATCTATTCCTGGCTGTTTTCCTGTGTGAGTGAACTCTCCATTCTTTGTGTATGTGTGAGTGTGTGTGCCACTGCATGATCCAGGAGCAAATTTCAAACCAGATTAGCCAAGCTGGTATAGTGAGCAGCCCGAGTGCCAGCAACCGGAGACAGAGATCTCTGGGCAAAGGGTTCTGTAGGTCTGAGGACTATGAGCTGGAAAGACTGGGAATCTGAGAACCAGCTACTGGATCGTCTGAGACCAGCAAGTAAGATGAGGATCAGGGCGTTGTGTGGTTGGTGCTTATGTGAGTCCTGTGTGAGTGTATGGGGCGCCTGTGAAGGCATTGCCCTGTTCGCTGTAGTCAACTGTGACTCTACAGTGTGTGTGTGCATCCCTATATACTTTGGTGTGTGTGTGTATCCCTATATACTCTATAGTGTGTGTGTGTGTGCGTGCTGGGGACGCACAGCCTCCCTGCTGGCTGCACCAAGCACGAAGGGGCCACAGCGGCTGCTGCAGCGGTCCCCGGGTCCTGCAGCCCTCCAGACTGGACTTCCCTTAGGCAATTACAAATCCAGCTTCTATTCAAAACTTACTGACAATTGAACTTTGGAAAAAACGTAAGCACAAAAGATTCTACTTAAAAGAGAACAGTTTTCATAAGAAATACGGAATAAAATGCTGGTTCATTTGCAGCCCTTATTGGTCAGGTGTAGCTATAATGTCATTCACATTAACAGAAGAATCAAGATGCCCACAGGACATTATTTCAGATGTAAAAAATCAGCATAGTTGCATTATAAAATGACTTTGGTTGGATGTTATTCCTCTGAGGGGGTCCAAGAAACTAGTTTTTATTCGTGAAAAATTCCTAACTAGTCTTCCTGCAGATTTATATCCAAGAAGACTCATAAACATCAGGAAAAATGCTTTCTCAACATTTTACTTGTTTTTTTTTTTAATGATCTTTTTCACACACAAACGTACTGATACTTTCAGGCCTGCTTCGTTTTGTTATTCAGAGAGTTGGATTCTCTTTATTCATTCCATGGCTCTTTAGGTACACTATGCTTCTTTAATTTTGCTTAAAAGAAGCATTAAATTGAATTCTTCAGTTATACAGCTATTTTCTATTTTCTTCTGAAAATAGTTTTTACAACCAGTGAGACATCAACTTACAAGAAGTAATTAGAATTTATACACTACTGTCACTGAAGTAAACTAGTACAACAACCACTATAATTTTCATTGCTTTGCACATTAAGGATTCATACAGAATAAATACAATGTTATTCATGATATGAAGATAAGTTTGCATTTAAACTCTCATATATGTTTCCTTCCCATGACCTTTAGGTTTGAGTATAGACTGCATTTTTTCCAAGTGTTTCCGTTTCAGTCTTCATCATTTGATTCCAATTTTAACATATTTGTTAAAATTCATATCCCTAAAAATAACAGAAAAATCACAAAACAAAAAGTGTTATTATCAAATGAGACAGTGACAGGGAAGTGAAAGAAATCAAACTAAATGCAAAAGAAATATTGTTTTCCAATGTATGTTATCTTTCCTTATTCAAACTTCTACTTTATGCATATGTCAGATGTAAAGTTGGTGCAGGTTGGTGCTTCAGTCAGCATCTAAAGCTGACTGAAGTGACTCATCTTAACCTAGAATGAAAATTCAAAATCACAAATGTTATCTGTGTTACAGTCTGAAACAAGTAGATTTGTCTGAGAAAAAGAAAGTTTTTCTGATCATTTCAAAATTCTGTAATTTAATTTTAAATTCTGCCATTTTAAAATGTAATTAGCATAGATTTAGAAAATGAAAAATCATTTACAGCAATTTTTGTTGGTCGCTTTAAAACACTAATTTTTTATATTTTATATATGATTCTGAAGATTTTCCTCCAAAGCTTTAAACTTATCAAAATGAAACCCGATCTCAAAAACAATCAAACCCAATCTTGTCGTATGAACTTTTCCATCTCTGACCATTTGGCATCTTTCATTAGAAAGCATTTCATAAAGAGATTCTCAATTAGCTCTTGTGATGATGCTTTTTAATACGATTAGCTCCAAAGCTTTCTTTTGATAAATTTGATTCATGCTCGGGGAATATCCCGGGAGGAAGGTTTGTTGTATTTGATCATTGCTAAACTGCAATTCAATTTACAATTTAATACATGAACACTTACGTAATATTACCTGGCTCAGATTCCTGTACATCTTGAGACAGATTGACAGACAATGACTTCCCAAATCTCTGTGGCAAATTTAGAAGTGATTGAATGGAACCTTTAACAAATGGAGATCTCCCAAGCCTGTGAGATAAATCTGGGGCATGTCTAAGCAGACTCTCTCCAAGAGCTCTCCCAAATCTCAGAGGAAAATTAGCAATTGGCTTAATGCTTCTTTCTTCTGGATCATTTCTTCCAAACCTAAGAGGTAAATTAGCAACTGAATTTGGCATCTTGTTTACTGCAGGCGCATTCATTTTAATAATATTTTTTGATCCCCAGTCTTTCATTTCTTCAAAGTTGAGACTTCTCTGATTTTCTTCCAGGATATTATCTTTAATCTAAAAGAAAATTAAAAATTGATAACATAATTTTTAATAGAGTATTATTCCAGCTACACATGACTCACATAAGGGTATTCATCAGGAACACTTCTCTGTTATCTGATGTTTTTAGTACTCATGTATGCTAAGTTCTTCTCTATTGTGGATTACTTCACATAGAGACTGTCCTGCAGACTTTTTCTGTTCACAGACCTCGAGAGCACCTGCCTATGCATCAGCTTCTGCAGCTGTCCAAATGATACTGTTTGGAACTATTTCCTGGGCCATGAGACAAGTGTGGATACGAGTCACTGTCAGGTCCACATTGTATACTGTTACCAACTGAATCTCTCTAGAGGGGAAAGGCTGATGTATAATGGCTTGATATAGATCTGAGTTCTTATTCCTGTGGTGTGGATGAGCAGGGGTGGGGAGGACAAGCCATCTGGAGGAGTAGCCCATTTCTTCCTAAGCATTGGATGGATGCTCTGGGCTAACAGGCAGGGAAATGAGTGGGATTCAATTGGATCAAGCCCACTTCAAGCCTATTCTGGCCTTTCAGCACAGAGGTTGTCCTGAGTTTTGAGTCGTTTCACTCCTTCGCTAGCACATAGGATGCCTTGGGAGCTCCTGGGATGTCAGAGCCCAGCAGCACAAAATCTGCTCTCTTGTGGCTGTGCTGGACTACAGAGCAGGACTGAGCCTAGTATATTACCTGTCTCATGATGTAAAGTGCAGCTTTTGCCTGAAAAATAGCTATATCAAAATGACACTTTCCAGTGCAGTAGTGCTCCCCGGGCATACTGAAAAGCACACATTCTTTGTTATGTGAGAAATTAAGAGTTTTTTTCAACCTTAAAAGAAAACATGTAAAAATGTGATTTTTGATTTCAGTTAAAGACACAAGAACTAAGAATTAGTCCTAATTTCAGTTCATTTCCCCAGTTGGATGATATCCCAAAAGGTTTCCCATCTATTGGGAGAGAAAAGAAACGAACCATTCTAGTTCATGCTCTGTAAGTGAAATGTTAAATAACTCAGCCTTTTCATCTGCACATTTCTTCCAAAGTATGCAAAAGAGTAAGATCTGAGGACCAGGGAATTTCACTGGCATAATTACAGTTATATCTTGGTTTGAAGAATCTTTATTACTTCGACAATGATGCCTGAGAAAAAAAGAGAGGTTGGTTCTCTTTTCCCAGGGGATATTTGCAGGGCAGACAGGAAAAGAAAATGTTATAGATGAACTGTGCAGATTTTATTTGTTATCTATTGAGACATAATACATGTGGAACCCTGCAAAGATATTTTTATAGTCAATTTCCAGGATAGAATTTTAAGACCATTAACTACATTAGATTTATAATGTTCTCTGTTTATCATTATTCTTTGAGTATTACAAGCATGCCTTTATTAATTTTGGATTAATAATGTATCTTTTATATTATATGTATAAAATGCCTGACAGGAATGTTAATTGCGGCCCCACTGTGAAAATAAGAAACATATCAGAAAAAGTCTCAGCCTGATCACAAAGCTGTATTGCAAGAAAATTGAAACCTGAATTGATTTACGTAGCGTCAGAGCAAATAAATTTCTGGAGAACTGTCCAACAAGTCTTTTTCACACCGTTAGTGTGGTAGCACCCAATCCTGTGCAATGAGGTTAGGGGAACCTTTGCCAAAAGCTTCACAGCAAACAGCATCAGACTCACAGTTCTTCCAGATAAAGTCATAATAATACAAATCTTACCTCAAAATATTTGTCATCATAGTCTTCTCTGCTCTGCAGACTGGACCTCCTCGGTTCAGCGAGGCACATGCTGTTTGATGTTATAAAGACTACTGTAGCTAAAGCAAATAAAGTAAACTTCTTGATTAAAAAGCCTTTCATTTTTCTCTCAAATTAAGCTTACTTGGAGAGCTCACAATCTGTAGAGAAAAGGAAACTACCGTCATTTTATATGATCAGAAAACAAAAAGAGATTTTGTTCCCTGTGACATCAGTCTCCAAAGCTTTAATTCTTAATGTTAATTAGGGGAGTAATTTGAATATATTTGAACAATGTTGGGAATTTCTTTTGTGAACACTTTTAACCAACATAGCTTCTTGTTAGGGACACACTGAATTTGCAAATATTTTCTTCTGATGAAACATCTCCTAATCAGCTAGATTTGAGAGCCATCACAGGGCACTTAAAACAATCACAATGTTCCATCATTGTATGGAACAAAAACACCTTGTTTCTTGTTTTTTATATAAACACCCACAGAAGGACTATGAAAGGAAACTTTCTTCCTGTAAGTATTCCTTTTGGACCTTATGATGTTTGCTTTTAGATATATACAAGCAGGGACATTTGCCCCATTGAAATCAAGTGCTGTCTAATGAAGTTGTTGATCAAGTCCTGAGAGACATTGAATCAGTGAGACCTATTGAGGTACATATTAATTTGTACTCAGATGAATTAGGAAAATGCTTTTAAAAACATGGCTATAGTAAAGTTTTTATAAGTTTCAAAAGGTCATACTGGATAGATATTCTTAAGGCCCTGTTCCCAAAGTTTTAAAAAAGGCATCTGCCACCTTACTGCATGCAAGGGACAAGCTGTGTGTGTTCTGCTCTGAAAGGTGACTCAGGCTGCGCATTGAATGTCCCATTAAGGAGCATATTCACTCAGATGCTAGTTAGACTGGTGAGCTGGGATGTCATTAAAAAAAGCTTATTGTTTTGTTCTTCCATTTATTATTCTTAAATTCTTAGAAAGGTTGCCTAAATCTCTACTTCAAGTCAGCTGCATAAGTGCAAATCTGATTCTTCGTGGCAAATACCCATGCTGGAAATGTGGACTTCAGACAGGTAATGTTGCAGTTCAGCACTGGGGATGTAAAATGTCCACTCCATCACAGCACTAACCGGGGTGTCCCAAGAGGACATGTTTTATGCTTTAGGCAGAACAGATAATATGGACCGCTTATCTGAAAGAAAAAGAAAAAAGAAAAAAGAAAATGAAAGAAAAAACAATTAATTAATTATCTTACTAGGGGGAATAATGACTTCTTTCTCTCCCACAATTTATTCCTTATCTGGCAGCACCAGGAGCAGCACTCCGTTGTTCTCCCTTGGACTACCATGTCCCTATGCCCTGTAGACAAATAGTCGCTTTCTCCCTCAACATCTCCAGTTACTGGGGGATCATCTAGGGTAGGAGGACAGTATATTGGGGTGTCTTCTTGAAGATGATAAGGCTAAGTAAGTCTTGTGAAATGCTCATCTTTTAGCCTGGTTTCAGTGCCAGCCCACCTGCCGTCCTTCTCCATTTTCACTGCAGATGGACGGTGTACTCGCTTTGGAGGGGCAACTGGTTTTCCCCACAAGCCCTCTGAACTCTTAGGGATGAGTTGGATGAAACCTCCCCTCTGTCCTGGAGATAAGGACAGCAGGACATTCAGACAAGAAGGCATGAGGATGAACCTGCCTGACAGTGTGTGAGGAGGGAGGTTTCACCCCCTCCCAGAGGAAAGGGGAATGCTACTGGCACCGAGCTGGAAGCAGAAAGGGAAAAGTTTCAGGTAAACTTTCCTGGGTAGAGAAAGTGTGAAAGGCTCTCTCCATTTGTTGTATGCAACAAGAGACTATTACATTATTAAAGCAGATGGGAATGCTATTAGTAACCTAATTAGGAGCCCCTGTGTGAAAAGAATGAGTTTTAATCAGTCGCCGACTTTTGCGTGCAGCTTCGCCTTGTTCTTGTAGGCGTTATTTGCGTATTTCCTCTTCATTTATTTGCTCAGTGTAATCCTAATGGCTCTAGCTGACAGCTGAAAAGGCTGGATTCAAAAATCTGAGACTTCTTCAAAAAACATCAGGAATAAAGAAATGATGGGAAACTAAGCACAACTCTGCACAGTCTGAATAGGCAGTTGTCTGTTTTCACTGAAGTCTTTGAATGGGGGGTTCCTGGCTCTCTGCAACATCATGTCATGGGCTTCCATCTGTGGGAACAGATGGATTTTACAAATGTATTTTCTTTATGATTACCATAAAAAAGATAACGAATGCAATTCATGTGCTAATATCTTTCTAACATGTGGTCATTTACCATTGGGCTTTCCTGTTACATTGCTGTTGGACTGTGAACCTCCCTTTATCAGTGGTCTTTCAATTAACTCTATGAAGGTATTTGCTCTCTCTATTAAATGGAATTGGCAAGTTCCAAAAATCTCTCCTGCAATATATGGCACAAGTACAGATTTTGTTTTCCCAAGATAGGACAGAAAATGTATTGCTTTAAGCTGTGTCAGACTTTCCTGATATTAAGTTTATCTCCTACCTATTGTCTCCTACCTAAGCTGATTTTTTAATGCTATCATGAAGTGAGGTGTTCAGGTATGGTGTATGCCAGGCTGTCAGAGAGTTGCAGAGGCCCTGTGCTTTTTGTTGTCTGTTTAGCCTGCCTGGTGGTACTTGCAGTAGGAAATCTTCGGAAACTCTAAGTCAGGAGATTGCCACAATTTCATTATCTTTCCTAATATGAGGCTTGTCACAGCTGGAGCTTGGGTACCAGAATGGATACCCCTTGACACGATGACTGCAAAATCAGCTACGTCAGCTTAGACCACCTTCAATAGCAGCATAAGCTGCTGTCTTGGAACTGAGGTGGATGAGGAGTCTAGTGAAGTGCTTTATTTGGGGAGGAAAGATGCATTAAACTGGACATTAGGAGAATGGTGGCAACAAAAAGTGCTGGGGCAGAAGGCTGTGAGGCTTAGGTTGCTCCCCTCCTCAATCAATCCCCAAAATGCATTAATAATGTATATGGGAGGATCTAAGCACTGCTGAAAACAGCTTTTGAGTTCCTAGCCTCTTGTCCCGGACCTGTTTTGTCCGCCTGTCTCGTATCACTCGTCAGCCAAGCTATTCAGAGGACTTGACCATAACTGAACTCCTGCTCAGAAAATTCCTGAAGAAAAACATAGGAATGAGTCCTCTCATTTGGATGTGAACAGGCCTCCCAGGCAGGGACAATTTTAAGAGTCTGCCTACAGGTGCCTGATATAAATTAGCACAAGGTAATGCTTTTCCCTCCCTCCCTCCCTCCCTTCCTTCCTCCCTTCCTTCCTCCCTTCCTTCCTTCCTTCCTTCCTTCCTCCCTTCCTTCCTTCCTTCCTTCCT